GGACGGTAAGAAGCTGGAAGAGCCCAACAGCACGCTCTTAGCCGACCTCGGGGCGGCAGTCTCATCTTGTGGATCATCTTGGCTGATTGGCGGCGACTTTAATTTCCACCCGGCCTTGCTGCAAGAGTCAGGATTTGACGTTCGCCCTGAAGGACGGGTAGTTTTTCCTGATGTCGTGGGGACCTGTACGACGACGGGGGGTTTACGTTTAAGCGATTTCTTCGTGTGCAGTCGAGGCCTTAGTTCGGCTATTCGGGGGGTTTCGATGATCTCCGAATCCGACCTCTCTCCTCACTCGCCCGTTCGGCTTACCCTTTTCCCTCAGATCGGACGGCTGCGTTCGCTCGCGTTCAGGAAGCCTCCTAGGATCCCTGTCGAGAAGATGGTGGGTCCGCAGCTGGCTCCCCCCGATCTGGCGAGCCTTCTTGCCAAGCTTCAGAGCGGTGTCGACACCGCTCGATCTGGCGATGGGTTGCGCACGCAGGAGATTTTAGACCAGTATTATGGGGAATGGGCCGATGCGGCCGAAGTCGAACTCACTCGTGCCACTGGGGTCGACCTCCCGCGGATGGGCCTTCGGGGCCAGTCCCCCAAATTGGTGTGGCGTTCGGTTATGGATCAGGACGTTCGCAACCCTCGCAACCCGTCCCTTTTCGCCACCAGATGGCTTTGGCAGCGTTTTCAGGTGCTTGTCGGTCTGCTCAGTCAGGGAGCGCCGCTTGAGGCGGCCACTCAGCCTCTCCTCCAGCCCTCGGCGTCTATCTCGAGCGCTCTGGTGGAGCGCGCGTTGCTGCTCCGCGACGTTCAGTCCTTCGCTGCGATGGCCGAGTTGTCCCCGAGCACGGTGGACATGGAGGTGGCGCAAGTTTTAAAAGATCGTATCCGTGGAGCCCTGGACCAGACCATCCATGAAACTCGCTCGGCTTCCCAGGCGTCCTGGAAGCAGTGGGTTTTGGAAGGGTTCAATAAAGGGGCCAAGCGAGCCCACTTGGTTACTCGTGATCCTAAATTCTTTGTGCCCACCACCACCCTCATTGATGGAGACCGTGTTGTTAGCGACCCCCACAACCTTCTTCAGCGTGAGGAGAGCAGGTTCAAGGCCCTCTGGAGGGCCCAGGTGTCGGCCCCGACCCCTCCCGCCACCTTCGATCCTGCCCCTGATCTCCCTCCCATCAGCCCTGATGAGATAAGGAGTGTCTGTGGGCAGCATAAACTTTTCTCGGCCGTCTCGACGGACGGTTTCCACATCCGCCATTTTGCCTGGCTGTCAGAAGCCAGCTTGCAGTGCATGGCTCTCATTATGCAGATGATGGAGATCTCCTCTTTTCTCCCTTCTCACATTCGGGTGGTCATCCTTCACCTGATCCCCAAGGCTCTTCCAGGTCTCAGGCCCATTGGTTTGTTCGGGGGCCTTTATCGGGCCTGGGCTAAAATTCGGAGGCCGCTTGGTTTGGCCTGGGAGGAGGCCAACTACAGGCCTTGGTTTGCCGCGGGACGTTTTATGGGAGCTGCTGACACGGTGTGGCGACAAGCTGCACGGAGTGAAGGGGGGGTGGCCGCTGGCCTCTTTGCCGTCACTCTGCTGTGGGATTTTCAGAAATATTATGAAAGCATCGATCTCGACCGTATGCTGGGCAGGTGTCTGCTTTTGGGCTTTCCCGCTGCGGTGGCGCGTCTCTGCTGTTCAGCGTGCAGATGTGCGCGACACATCGTGTTAGGTGGCTTCATGACGGATGTCATTTTCGCCAGCTTCGGCATCGTGGCCGGCTGCTCTTTTGCAACGACGCTTATTCGAGTCAGCAGCCTGGAAGCCCTCGACCAGATCGAATGGCCCATTTGTACTACGTACGCTCTTTATATTGACGACAACGCAGTTCACGCCATTGGATCGGAGGTCGAGGTGCTCGAAGGGCTGGTCTCCGCCAGTTCGCAGTTGGTCGTCGCCATCTCTGAGGGGATCGGCGCCACCCTGGCCGAGGACAAAGGGGCTCTAATATCGTCCGATAGAAAACTTGGCTGTAAGGTCCAGGAGGCCATTGGGGTGGCCCTCGCGGGGCCTTTGGTTTCTTCGGCCCCGAATTTAGGCGTCGACGACACGGTCGGTCGCCCAGTTCGCCAGCAAGGTCGTAATGCTAAAGCCAAAGCCCGTCGTATCAAGGCTTCTCGTCGTGGTAAGCGCGTGGGGAGACTCGCTCGCACGGTCGGACGCAAGGCTCGAAATGTCTGGTGCTCTGGGTCCCTTCCTGCTGCCACTTACGGCGCCGAAATCTCAGGGATTTCCGACGGGGAACTTTTGGCTTTAAGACGGTCTTTTGCCAGTACTATCAAGCCGAGTGCGGGTGACCGCTCGCTTTCGATTCTTCTGCATCTGGAAAAGGACCCCACCTGGGCGGTTCAGATTGCTCCGATATGTAGGTGGCATAAGGAACTCTGGCACGCCCATTTGTCCTCTCACCCCTCGGTTTTGAGTTTTGCTGAAATGAGAGAAGCGTGGGGGTCGGTTTTTGGTTTGGAATCCAAGTCTTGGAGATCTGTTTCAGGTCCAATCTCAGCCATGAGGAAAAGTCTCGAGAGGATCAGTTGGCAGATGCCCAACTTCGCCACGCTGATCGACGATCGCGGCGTGGAGCTGCCGCTGCTGTGCCTGTCGCCTGCTCTCGTGCGCCGTCTCGCCATGGAGGCGGTTTTCAGACAGCTGGAGTGGATGATTGGAGGTAAGCTTTCTCTCCCTGGTCGGGGCTGCCTCGATGTCGTCCATGAAGCTCTAGCTACCAAACGTTTTTCTCCGCTTGAAAAGGGCATTATCCGAGCCTGGAGCACGGGTGCGGTGTGGACTCGCACCTACGCCAGGTCCAAAGGGCACGAGTTCCCAGAGTTTTGTGAGTTGTGTGGGAAGGCTCGTGACACTTTGTACCACGGGTTATGGGCATGTCCTTGTTTGGACGCCAAACGTCGCGAAGCTGTGGGGGATGATATCGTCGACGGGGTGACGGACTTCGTTTCTCAGGGAAGACATCGCTTGACTCTGGTTACCCGAGGCATCCTGGCTCATCCTGGTGACGAACACCCCCCCCCGCTCGAAGAGGGTTCCTGGGGCGTCTCGTGGCGTGGGGACCCGCCTTCAGACAATGTTTTCAGCCTCCAGGGGGAAGTTTTTGTTGACGGTTCCTGCTCTCGGCACGTTATAAAAGAGCTGAATCGTGCGGCCTGGTGTGCGGTTTTGTTTTCCGACGAAGATAAGCTGCTGTGTACTATGAGATGCCCTGTGTGGGCCCCGCTCCCTCAGACCCCTCAGGCCGGCGAGTTTTCGGGATACTGGGGGGCGATTATGTGTCTCACTGGCCCCAGCTCGATCATCACCGATTGTGCCAACGTTGTTACCCAACATGAGCTTCCAAGGGATGCTCAAACCTTTTTCAAACGTATGTACTCTGGTGTCTTTGTTCTGCTGTTGTCCAGGCCCGAGCGTCGTCACATTCGTGAATTGCTCAAAACTAAGGCTCACCAGTCCTTGGCTGAGGAAGGCATCTCAGCTCAGGAGGAAGCCGCTCGTCTGGGGAATCACTTGGCCGACCAAGGGGCCAAGGAGGCCCTTGCGTTTCATCCCTCAGACTCGAAAGTGCTGGAAGAAGCTAACGAGTGTGTGAAGTTTGCCAGGGCTGCCTGCAAGCTCGCGGCTAAGTTGCTGCCAGAGTTTGCAGCTCTCAGCTCTATCAAAGATGTGCCTTACCTCCCTGTGGTGAACGTGCCCAAAGCTGCTTCTGGTAACGTTCACAAGTGGTTTAGGTTTGAAGGCTTTTGGCGCTGCTCTCGGTGTTTCCAGATTCGTCGGCCTCGGGACGGTTCGAAACCCCTTCCTGGTCGTTGTTCTGGTTTAAAAGCCTGCAGTGCCGACAAGCTCACCGCCCTTCAGCACAAGTGTGTGATGTTCCCGTGCAGTGACGGGTCTGAGCTTGTGATTTGTATGAAGTGTAAGTTTTACTCCTCCCACGGTACCCTCCGTGGACTGGCTGCTCGCTGCGACCCCCCTCCCAGTAAGTTCGGAGTCTGGGTTTGGCAGCAGATCTGCAAGAGCCGTCACCCTAAGAGAAAGGGGGTGGTGGTGCAGTTGGGAGTTAATCTTCGTGACGGCTCTAATCTGTTTCAGGACGAGTTGCCCACGGCTGTGAGTGAACCCGTGCCCCCTCCTCCTCATCCGCCTGCTGCCCCTAGACCCATGCACCCGCTGCGTGAGTTGGCAGATCGTTTGAGGAAGGAAGAGAAGGCAAGCGAGTTCCAGGCCAGGGTTCGTCGTCTCTGTATCGCGGCTGGCGCCGCTCCGTCTGTCCCCAGCTCAAATCCCGACGCTGATCAGGACGACTCAGATTAATAGCCGCTCTATTTTTGTATTGCTCTGGTCGAAGGTGCTGCACTTGTCTCACGTTTGTCCAGACAGGCGTTTGGCCTCGGGTTCCCAATCCTTCAGGGATTCGGAGCCTACTTTTGCCTCGTCGCCTCCCTTCGCCCATATGTTTGAGGGTGATTGCTAGGCGCCTTTTCTTGTTGCAGGCTGCAAGCGCCATGTGCAGCCTGGGTGCAAGCCCCAATGCGGGACAGATAAGGTGGTTGAAGCCTCAGGGGAAAAAAAAAAATCCTCCTCCTCCTCCTCCTCCTCCTCCTCCTCCTCCTCCGCCTCCTCCATCCCTTCTTCGATCGAGAAGCAGCAGCAGGCAGCCTGCGCTTCCTGGGGGTCCGCCTGCAGGGCCATCTCCGCGCCCTGCACGCCGGCGCGCCTCTCCTCGGACAGGCCGCGCTGCGGCGCCAGAGGGGCGCCACCCCAGAGGGGGCCCCGCGGTTCCCTTCCGAGCCCGCTCGGCCGCCAGGGCCGAAGGCAGTGGGCCCGCTCGGCCGCCGGAAGGGCTCGATCGTGCGCCCAGTCGGCGGCCGAATGGGTTCGGTCGCTGCGAAGGGCCTCGGAGGGGATCCCCCCCTGGGGGGGCGGGGCTCCCCCTGCCTGGGAGGAGTCCGCGCTGATGATGGAGATCGCGCAAGGCCTGCCCGCGCCCCCCCCCCGCCGCCGCCCGCGCACCGCCCACGGGCACGAGGGGGCGGCCTCCTGACGGGCCGAGCAGCCGCCGGGCCTCCTCGATCCGAGCCTTTTTCGGAACGGCCTGCCTCTCGCGCCCACCGCCCAGCCGTGCGTGGAGGAGCCGTTTTGGATGCCCGGGGCGTCTTCCGAGGAGCCGCCCGACCTCGTCGACGAGAGCCCCCCCCCGCCGACTTCGGAGGGCCGTTTCTCGCGCGCCCCGCCCAGCCGTGCGTAGAGAGAAGCCTTCTTGGACGCCCGGGGCGTCTTCCCAGAAGCCGCCCGGCCTTGTCGATGAGAGCCCGCCGCCCGCGTCCTCAGGAGGCCGCTCCTCTCGGCCGCCACCCTGGCGGTGCGCACCGCCCAGAGAGGGGCTGGGAGCTCTGGGGGGGAAGAGGGAAGGGGCGGGCCTTCCCAGAAGGTTCGGAAGTCCCCCAGCCTTCTGGGAAGGCTCCTATACCATCGAGAGCACAAGGACCCCATGACCTCAAAAACGCAGTGAAGACGCGGCCTCACTGAGGTCCTCGTCTTTGGATTAGGGAGAAGAATTCTGGGCGGTGTGACACATCTGCAGCAAAGACCCCCCTATCCCTCACATTTCTGGCCCTCCTAAGCTAGGTCCCCCAAAAGGGTTGGGGTCCTTTCGTGGCTGATCATCCTAAGCCTTCCCCGAAGACAGATAACTTCTCAGAAGGCCAGCGCGCTTCTGAGAAGCTCCGCCGACTTTGAGAAGGTCTTTTCCTCCTCACTTCCCCCCTCTCTCGCCGCCGATCAAACAAGTCAGGAAAGAAAGAACACAGACACAAGTAATCGTCGACCCCCAGGAAAATAATATGGAAAATATGAGAAGTGGAGGGGGATGACGAAAATCCAGAACATATGCAACAAACATGGAAATCCTCGGATTTGTGTGTATTTATTGCGAAGGCCTTACGGCCGGTGCCGCCGACCCTGAGAACGACGAAGATGAAAACGAGGGGGAGGGGCAGGTGGAGGAGGATGAGTGGGAGGTGGAGGGGGAGGTGGAGGAAGGGTGGAGGAGGTGGATGAGGGAGCAGGAGGGGGGAGAAGGATGTGGAGGAGAAGCAAGAGGAGGAGAAGGAGGCAGAGGAGAGCAGGAAGAGGGGCGCAGAGGGGGGGGGAGGAGGAGTAGGAGGAGGAGGAGGAGGAGGAGAAGAAGGAGGAGGACGGAGTATGAGGAGGAGAGGGGGGAGGAGGAAGAGGAGGAGGGAGCAATGAGGAGGAGGAAGGAAGAGGAGGAGGAGGAGGAGCAGGAGCAGGAGGAGGAGGAGGAAGAGGCGGAGGAGGAGGAGGAGGAGGAGGAGGAGGAAGAGGAGGAGGAGGAGGAGGAGGAGGCAGAGGAGGAGGCCAGAGGCTTTGTGTGCATTTCAGTGTGTGTCCTCGGGCCCCTTGAAAAGAGGGCAGGAGTCCCCGAGGGCACCAGTCACCAGGCCTCCCGGGGTTCGTGCCGTTCCTCCCGGGGGGGCCTTGCCCGAGGCCGCCGGCCAGCAGCGCGAGGGGCAGGAAACCCGCCCTGGGCGACGAGCCGGCGGCGAGCGAGGGGGGGGGCGGGGTCGGCAGAGAGGGGGTGATGACTAGGGGGGGGTGGATATCATGGCGGGGGCCGTGATGTCTCCCCAAAGTTCGTGGCGCCTCTTCTGATTTCATGACGTCCCTGCCCCTCCCCCCTGGGCCGCGCACGTGCCTGCCCCCTGGGGGGGGGGGGGGATGTGAGGAGGAGGAGGCCCTTTCGGAAGGCGCCAGGGCGTCGCAGAAGCCCGCGCGCCTCCAGACCAGCTCTCTATAGAGCCTCCTTGGGGAGGCCCCGAGCACTTGTCGGAAGGCCTCTGGCCTTCCGAGCCTTCGGAGGAGGCCCGCCCCTTTCGCCCGGGCTCGGCCACGTGCGAGCCGCGCGTCGCGTCCGGGGGGAGCCTCTGTCCCAGAGCCGTGTCCTCCTCCTTCCTCCTCCTCCTCCTCCCTCCTCCTCCTGCCTCCTCCTCCTCCTCCTCCTCCTCCTCTCCTCCCTTTTCCCTCTTTTCTCTTCCTCCTGCTGCTCCTCCTCCTCCTCCTCCTCCTCCTCCTCCTCACCCCTCCCTCCTCGTGCTTCTTCCTCCTCCCTCGCCTCCTCCTCCTCCTCCTCCTCCTCCTCCTCCTCCTCCTCCTCCTCCTCCTCCTCCTCCTCCCCCTCCTGGGGCTGCCTGACAACACTGGAGGTGGGGTCCGGGGCGGGGCTGTGGTGGCAATCTCGACTGGCGCCGTGGGGTCTCCCGGATGTCATGGCCCCCGCCGCTTCTCTCGGCAGGCCCCCTGGCCCGCCCCCCGCCCGCGAGACCATCCAAACAAGTAAAGGAGACCCCCCCAAAAGTAAAGGAGACCACTCAAACAAGTAAAGGAGACCACCTAAAAAAGTAAAGGAGACCCCCCAAAAAAGTAAAGGAGACCCCCGAGAAAGTAAAAGGAGACCCCCCAAAAAAAGTAAAAGGAGACCCCCCACCCTTCTTCGGCGCACCCGAGACCCACAGCCCGAGTAGGAGATGGACTACATCATCGATGTATCCCACGAGTTTGATTGGTTCGCCGAATCTACACAGGGCACGCCACATGTTCGTGGACAAGATTTGTTCGCAGATTCGACGTGAATTGCATTTTTTGGGGGGCAAATCAATTCTGTAGTCGATCTCCTGCTCGAACAGCGGTTTATGCCCCCCTTGAGTGGGCCTCGCTGTCGGTGCCCCCGCGGGCGTGGCCCGTGTGGGACAGCGCGTCGCTCGTCCAGCAATGGCCGCCGTCCGCGTTAGACGAAATTCGCCGTTGGGCATCATACCGTCGGGGCCCTGAAGAAGGAACCCTTTTCGTTGGGGAGGGGCTCCATGTTCCTTAATTGTTTCGCAGCTTGCCTCAGGTTTTCCTTATTTTTTCGATGGGAAATCGAAGTTCAACTCATGGTAAAAAGGGGCCTCGTTCCTTATTTAGGGTTCATTAGGTCAACGCCCCGACTGTATCAGTGTCTTCGGTACCCCTTTCGGGCGTGCTAGATCGGCCACGCGCAGAGGGGGGCGGGGGGATGGGGGAAGGCTCCTCAGAAGGAGGCTGTTTCTTAGAAGGCGCGGGCCTTATCTACAGATATAGGGCCGGCGCCTTCTAAGAAGCAGCCTTTTTCCAAGAAGTTGTTCCCTCCCAAGTACCCCTTCTTGCGCACCGCCAATAAAGGCAGGCTGATCGAGGACCTGTGGCCCAGGGCAGATCGCGACGGCCGTGTTTTTGGTCGTTCTCGGCATCTCTGGAAACCGTTCCCCAGCCACCAGGAGCGTCAAGAAAAGGCCCAGGACGAAACACCGGCCCTCAGAGAAGGTGTCCAGAGGTTCGTGCCGGTGGTAATGGGGGCTGGGGGGTGTGGAGAAAAGGGCTTTAAAAGGCCACCTTTAGGGCCCCTTTCGGAGCCAGCGGGGGTCCTGAAAGGCTCCCTTGGGGTCTTTTTTCTTCACCCCCACTTAGGTCACCTCCCAATACCACCCGCCCGAGAGGTCCCCAGGAGCCCACATCACGAGACAACTGCGAGGTCGAAGGAGAAGGAAGAAGAGGTGGAAGGATCCAGGTGCTTTCACTTCCCTAGTTTTTGTTGTGTGGGGGGGGCCTGGAGATGCTCGTCGATCCGATCGATCCGCTTCGATGTCGACTTTGGCCGACCCGATCGCAACCGATTCCGATGTTCAGGAGATCCGAGGCGGCCCCGTGTTCGCATGGCGTGGTCGTGGATCTCGGCGCGGCCGGTCCGATCTGATTCCGACTCTCCGTGCCTGCGGGGCCCGGCCCGACGCACATTCCGCCTCAATTAGATGTGCCGATCCGATGTCGACTGATCCAGAGAGGATAGGGGGCGGAAAAGAGGGGGGTGATGGACTAGGGGGGGGTGGATATCATGGCGGGGGCCATGATATTTTCTCAGATTTCATGGCGCTTCTTCTTATTTCATTACGTCCCTGG